ATTGAATAGTTAACTGCTTTAGTGATGTTAGGGCTATGAATTTATCGAATTTAGCTTGAACATCGTTAATCGTTTGAAAATTGATTCAATTTCTGGCTCGGATTGATTTTGGATCGAAATAAAAGATCCTTTCTACGAGTAAAAATATTGGATTGATTTTTTTTTTCGAGCAGATTTTAAGTCTCATCACATTTGAAATTGAAACGTTAACGGCCCTATATATACCGAACATAATTCATGCTAAATTCATGAGATTAGTAGGTAACAGGAGGTTAAAGTGTGGTTGTCTTTTATTTGATAATAATGTAAACCGGGTACCTAAGCAGGCCCAGAGCCGCCTGTAGAACGCCGGCGAAGAACGTGGCGGTTAACGCCAAATGCAAGTAAAGAGTGGGCTCTTCCTTCGCAGACACCGATTTCCCCAACATCGACGCCATCAGCAGCGACGCCACCGCCACCGTACCCACCGCCACATCCCTCGAACTCCCCATCATCGCATACACCAGCGGCGGCACAAAGCTCGAATCTGCATAACATTAATCCGTCCTCGTTCAGCCATTTCGTCATACCAAACCAAAATAGACCCAAAAAACAAAAAAGAGAGAGATTTTTGATAACACACGTACAGAGCCCAAGTATAGGAGGAAGATTAGCTAGCTTGGCGTAGCTGATGCCCTGGGGGATGGCAAGACTGGCTATAGTGATGCCGGCGATGAGGTCGGCGCGAAAGAAGCTAAGAGTGTAGTTTGGAGCCCATTCGAGGATGGGCAGGAAGTATTGGAGGGCACGGATGACTCGCCGGCCGCCTTTTTCTTGTTTGAACTGACGGAAGGGGTCGTCGGGGTAGAAGGTTTCTTTTAGGTTGGAGAGGAAGGTGTCGATGAAGGGGCGAGGAGGGGGGATGGGAACTCGGTGGGCGAGCTCAACGCCGGCCATGTAGGCGGCGTCGGTGTTTCCCATTAAGTGGTGGGTTTTAATGCTCTTAATGGATTGATTAGTGTGGTGATTAGTGTGATTAAGAATAATTTGGAAGCAGGGGTGAGGAGCTTGAGGGGAGGTTTAAGGATGAGTGTGGGAGATGAGGGGCTTGCAGGTGATAGGAAATGGAGGGGTATGGATAGACTTATATAAAGAAGAGGAGTGGGATGTGTGGATGGGCCGGAGGAGGGACAGAGCTTAGCTGGTTCTGTTTTTGTTAAGGGACTCTATGAAGTGGATTTGAATTGATGGGGCCATAATTATTTCACTTGATGAATTGGGATAAATGTAAGTGATGTGTTTTGATACTATTAAAAAAAATAATATTGAATTCATTTTAATGCAAATTAAGAGAGGTTAAAAGAGATCAGAAATATAGTATACATAAATTTTTTTGCAGTACAAGTGTCACAGAAAAAAAGTCAGCGTATGCCCTTTACAAGTTCTAGTACTACTCAATGTATCCCATTAGTTTTATTTCATTCAAATGTATGGGGTGGTCCTTCCACCACAAATTTTATTCAATGTTATAGATATTATGTACTATTCATTGCTGACTTTACTAAATATACATGGATCTATCCTATGATGCAAACATATGAAGTTATTACACATTTTATACGTTTCAAACATCAAGTTGAGCTTCAGTTTAACAATTGCATTAAGGTTTTAAGATCCGACAGAGGTGGTGAATGTATCAATCATCAATTCAAAAATCATTTTCATACTTATGGAATTATTCCCCAAACAAGTTGTTCATATACTCATCAGCAAAATGACATTGTTGAACAAAAGCATCGTCACATATTGTAGACAACCTGTGTCTCCTCGCTGACTCAAGTGTGCATTCCTCCCTATGGCTAGAAACTGTGCAAACAACCATATATTTGATTAATCCCCTGCCCTCTCCCAATACGTTCAATAAATAATCTTATCAGCTTCTTTATCGGATTGTACCTTACTATAATCAACTGAAATCTTTTGGATGTGAATATTTCACATGGTTACCTCATATTCACGGGAACAAGCTTCGACAAAG